AGATATTTCAATATCCGGAATATCTTACAGTACCAAAGAATAGTTTATTCAGGAGCCAAAATTTGCTATTTCAAACCGTGAGTGAAAGTACTAATATCTTCATTCAGCATCTATTTAAGATAAATTATGGTAGTTTTAATACAGATAACCGCCTTAAGTTTGGATATTGTGCAGTGTGTCAAGTACCATTATTAGTAGTACGTAATTGTCGTTACTGCACGGCGTTACATTTAAGCAAACAGTGTGAGGACGTGTATTTGCAAATTTTGGAGTGTCCCTTTGCCGAACATCGGAAGTCGTTAGAAAATGATGACGAAAGCTGCCGATTCCATCAAGGAGGTAGTGATTTAATTCGGGTGTGGAGTAGGCAAGTAGATCAGTTATTTTCAGAAAACAGTAACTATTGGCTAAATCTTAGTGAATAAATTTGTTTTGGGGGCTATTTTTATATAAAAATAGAAATAAATAAATAAATTATTATTAGAGTGAATTTATACTGCAATTTCCTGACAAAACTCCTCCCAATACAGTTGACATAGAATACACTAAATTCAAGACCTGGTATTCGAATAAATTAAGTGGTATCTAGCAGTAGGAAAGAAACAAAATTAGAATTTTATAGCTAGTTTAATGATTAAGTACCAGGTTTGAAAGGTAGAGTAAAAAAAAGGGACTTAGTTGCCAGTAAGACAGCATAGTGTCAACTAGTTTTTGTGTCTGTGTCTCTATAAGTCATTGTATACCATGTTCGTGAGTAGGGTCTTGCAAAAGTTGGAAGAAGTGTATGGAGAAAACCACGGATTTGTGATCACAGAGTGATAAGTGATCCCTTAAACTTGTTCAACAGTCCGGAACTATACGACAACGTGGTTTTACCGGAAATGTATCGACGAGGAATCATCTTGCGATTCAACGGCGAAGCAATGAAAATGGGACGACCATCCAGAGCGGGTAACTCAACAAATCAGGCCCAAGTCTTAGGGCAGATTTGCTATGACAGCTGCGAAGACTACCGAAAGGCATCGGAGGATTGCGCTCGTATGATGGGATACGACCTAATCCTACCGCTAGTACCCGGACCGGATATCACGAATAAGCAACTTCAAATCGTCATGAAAAGGTGGCAGTTAAGATACGAAAACGACCAGTTGCAGTACGTAGAGTATGTTCCTCGACCACCGGATGAATGTACGAGAGAAGATATGCAGGTATGGATAGATTATCTTGTAGCATATTTTCATGGAGAAAGGATCGAACGCGGAAGAACATACGCCAAATTTGTACATCTGCCTTATGGAGGTGTGGGTTTTGCGGACATATTAACTTTTGATAACTGTGTACAGTCCTCTCGACCACTACCTGTGTGGCGTTTTTGTAAGCTGTGTATTTTAAAATATTTAACTCATGGACCGAAGAATATCTTCTTCATCTGTTGGGAGTGCTGGTCAACCGCCCATCAGAATGCCCTTCAACCCGGAGAAAAATGCCGTATATGTAAACCTGGCACCATAGGAGAAGAAATATTTCTAAGAAGATTAAATGTAGTGTAGAGTGGTGGTTTCTTGTCTTTTGAAAATTAGAGACTTTATAGTGATCCGAAGTTTTTCTTATTCAAACATATATATGTGTAAAATTACTGGGTGTTTAGTACGTGCTGATTGTAACTCATTATGTGCAAAGTATAAGTATATTATCTTGATATATGCAATTTCAAATAGGCAGGTGCAACTTGCGAGCCCCCTGCGTCGCTGATTTTCAGGGGCGGGCGTGTTACGTCGAGGACGAGTCAGACTATTTTATGGCGGTAAAATTTTAATTTTTTATGGAAGGGGAGTTCCCGTAATTAAAAGCAATAGTCATTTAATAGTTGACTTTAATCTTAGTGACGCACTTACCCCTTCTGGGATTAACCCTTTATCGATTAGTTTTTATTTATTTTGTGCTATAAAAGAGAACGCAAAACAATTGTAACAGAGACTCTGTATTCTACTCTGTGACGCTACGCACTTTCTGTAATGTATAATAAATATTATAAATCTATTTCTATAATATCTTATTTTAGAGTTATACCTAATCCACGTCCATCTCTGGGTTCGGAGGTACGAGTTTCTGGACCAGGTAAATTATTTAATTATAACTTATTCACTAGGTATTTTAGATACGTTGCCGCCTTGCTATTGTTTGAGTCTCGCACCCGTGATAAAGCGCTTACGCGTTGACCGAAAAGAGACAGTCGCGTTTGAGTAATTCTTGTCAATTCGCGGCCGTTACGTGAGACGTAACAATGCAATGGAAATGTCAATGAGATCACTATCAAAGCCCACCGTTGACTACTTTGAAATTACGATAGCATTTATTACTTTATAATATATGTGATAAAAAAATGTATACTAGAATACTTTATCAGTGAATTCATAGTCCGGGCATTTATACACACCAGTATTCTTAGTTAATATTTAGTTAAAGTTTCGGATAAATTTCAAGTTGGCAACTTAGCTCTGAGTTTTAATGCCTTAGATAATCTTAATAGTTAATTTTCTAAGAACTGATTGTCTACATAATATTTTAATATTAGTAACAATCAGTCTAGTATAAATACTATTTTATTTCATTATTCAGTCTATTGTAAATAGTAATTTTTTAAAAATTATTTTTTTAATTTAAAATTTACTGTTCAAACATACGGCATCGAAATCGGTAAATATTTACTTTGTTAAGATACAAGTTGTAATATTCATTGAAAATACATATTTTTATATTGTTTTTCAGCGTAACGACCCACAACAGGCGACTGATACTGCCTCCAGTATCGAAATTGGACATGGCGTAAAACTTCCAAAGGCCATCATTGAAAAATTACGCAAGAAGGACCTGCGGCACTTGTTATAATTTTCAACAAACGCCCTTTTCACAACAGAGAACTTTTCTAAAAGTTCTATGAGCGGAAAAAAAGCCGTTTATTGGATACGGCCATGCCTGAACTTGATTTAAACAAGCGTTTGGCAATAATAAGTAAGAAATAATAAATTTTACAAATCATTTTATTTTAATCGTCAATATTCATTTTATAATTATTTATATTTACATATTTTTCAGGCTATGCTATTTTCACTTTGTAACGAAAGCTCGTTCGTTATCAGTTTTTAAGGTGGGCAAGTGAGGTGCACTCGCTCATAGCAATCGAGGCGGGAAGGGGGGGAAAGACAAAGAAATGAAAGTGGTTAAGGAATTATACACAATTTGTGTTTTCTTGGATTTAATTTTGAGGATTTTTTCCGTAAGGGCAGTTGCCTATTTTTTTGACTATTATCCTGAATACTACTTAAATAGTTATTCTAGTATTCAAACAGTTTATTTCTTATGAGAATTTGTTGAGAAGAAAGAAAGGTTGAGTAACGAAATTGATTTGCATAAAAATTTTGGAAGAAATAAGTTAGTTTTGTGTAGAATTTTGTATCTATGCTTATACAAAATATAGATTTTCGCGCATTATATTATGGTTCTATATGAATACATATAATAAGCTTATTTATTTGTATGCTTACAAAAAAAATTTGCCTAAAAGTATGGAAATAGAGATAACTTTTGACTATTTGAAATTCTCAAAGAGCATAATACGTGCATCTAAAATTCTTCACAAATCAATTATCATCATTTATTTGTTAAGTCTAAAAGATTCTATCAATATGTTTCCACACTTTCACGAACACCTTATGAATTTTCAGCAATGAAAATGAAAGTTAATTCATTAAATATGATAAATATACTTTTGGCTTACTTCCAAACTCTCCCTATCCAAGAAAGTCCTTACAATCTCAAAGAAATTGAAATCAAAGATTATTTCTAGATGATACTATTAGATTTGCTAGAAGCAGATGATAACATAGATATGAGTATGGAAGAATCTTTAGATTTTCAAGAGGAGTTCAAAGACTCTAACGCATATATTCGAACAAAATTCGCATACACTACCTGAGAATCCTGAGTTTCCTACAGATAAATGCACTAGCTAGAATGAACCATTGAGTTTTGAATATAAGAAAAGAGCTGTCGACTTTTCGAGAAGTGGAAAAAGAAAAAATCTTTCTCTTCAAACGGTATAAAATCATTTCCGCGAGGTCACATCTGAAACACAACTATGTCGCTAAGTATATCAAATTAATCAAGATAGTACATATCGAGAGAAAATTGTAGGAATTTGGGAATATACTGTAGACAATTTTAACACCTGCTCTTGAATCTCATTTCATAATTCATAACAATGATTTGAGAAGATATGCTTTACTGGCTTAAAAATTAATTTGAAATGAAGATATAAGATTTACAGCTTCAAAATGGTGGGTTGCAAAATTTAAGGAAGCTCACAGAGTTGTATCTAGAAAAATGAATAAATTTATAACAAAAAAAAGTATAGAAAAGAATTGTCAACAAAAGAGACAGAATTTTCGTCAAATGTCAACCAATTAATTAATCAAGTAAGTATTGAGAATACCTTTAATTCAGATCACAGCGGTTTTCAATAAGAAATGCAGTCTTGCAGCACCTTAGCAGTTGAAGAAAGAAACAAGTACAATATCTTGCACAATCTCTATCATCCACTACTCATAGCTACACTATGTAACCTTTTACATATAAGGAAGGGGAGTAGTGTAGGTTAATAAATATTGAGACTCTCTGTATTAATTTAGAAATACAAAACAAAAAAAGGTAACTTTTACTAATCTCAAACGGAGCACGCCGATGTAATTGCGTGTTACACTCGTGGCGTCTCTCTCCAGACTGACTCTTCGCACGCGCTCTCGCACACATTCGTCGCTCGCGCGTCTATAATTCTCAGAAAAATAAATACATGCTTTTACCCGACAAACTAACATTTCTCACATCCTCCCACCGTTGAGGTGTTGCCTCAACTTAATCAATACGAAATCGTTACAATGAAAATCTTAGACTAAACGCTGGAATACACATAAATATTTATAAAACAAAAAAAAAATGCAATCTCATTTATAATAACAAGGTTTTTTGACAATCCGCCCGCTTTTAGTTTTGACAGTACTTTCTACTTGTTCGAGTTGAACTTTCTTCTGGTTAGCTTCCGCGCTGACAGATTTTTGTCTTTCACGAAATTCATTCGCTTCATCTTTATCATCGCAACTAATTTCTAATGGATAAATGCGTTGTAACGGACGTTTTAAAACCCCATCTTTCGTTTTCAACACAGCAACGCGAGCTATACCGTCGCGGCCTTGAATTAATTTTTCAATTTTAGCTAAAGGCCAATCGATACGCTTTTTATTATCATCGCCGATTAAAACAACGTCACCGATTTTAAGAGGCTGAAAGCTTTTCATACTATTACTTTTTAGTATCAATTGCCCTAAATACTCTTTACGAAAACGCTGACGCAAGTGCTCCATAATTTCTTGCTTTTGCTTGTAACTGAAGTTTAAATCAATCTTATTGAGTATATCCAAATCAGGATTTTCATAAGTTTTGTTGTTTCGAAGAAACATTCCCGGTGTCAGTGGTACCAAGTCATCAACCGCGTCGGAGACGTACGTCAAAGGACGTGCATTGATCGTGCTTTCGCAATCGCTCAGAATGGTATACATTTCTTCATAGGAGATACATCGTCTTCCAAGTACTTTACGCAAAATGACTTTGACCATACCTACTAATCTTTCCCACCAGCCTCCCCACCATGGTGCCGAGGGTGGGTTAAAATTCCATGTTATTCTCTGCGCTGTGCTGTAGGAATTAATCACGTCCCAATTTAATTTTTTCAAAGCATTATCAGCTCCGACAAAATTGGTCCCGTTATCGCAATAAATATCAGTTGGGCGTCTTTGCCGATTAATGAAACGACGTAATGCCCATAAAAATGTTTTAGTCGATAAAGACGTGACTAATTCCAAATGCACTGCTCGATATACCGCGCATGTAAACAAACAGATCCAGCCTTTTTGCTGCCCATTTAAAAACAACGGCCCTGCAAAATCAATTCCTACTGTTTCGAACGGATCACTATCTTTAACACGTTTGAGCTGTAAAGGTGGTGAATCGGCTTGCATCGGCTTAGCGGAGAAACGTTTGCAAACAACGCATTTGGAAATAACTTTTCGTACAGTTTTTCGCATGGACAAAATCCAATATCGATCTCTTAATTGGCACATTACTGCTTGTACACCTGCGTGACACATTTTTTCATGCTCTTCCATAATGATTAACTCAACACATCGATGATTATTATTCAAAAGAATTGGATACAAAAAAGGAAATTTATCATTTCGTTCACTTATTCTTGTTTTTAATCTTATTAAGCCATCAGTATGTATGAAAGTCTGTAATGTTGTCAATTTAGGATCGTTCTTCGGTAAAAACATTTGTTGTTGTATGCAAATTAAAAATTTTCTTTCTACATTATATACTTCTCTGTAGGTTACATATTTGCGTTGTATGGATTTCTTGTTCACAAGAAAATCCTTAAATCTAAGCATGATCGTAAAAAACTTTATCAATTTTTGATAAGATGAAAATTTATCTATAATACTAAAATCGATTTCTCCACATGACATTGCTATTTGCGCTGATTTTTTCATCTCCCTGCTTACCTCGTCCTCGTCAGTTTCACCACTCGAATTCGGCCAGTTTTCCGGAGACTCGCGTAACCACGGCGGCCCCTCCCACCAACGCGATTCGAGCAACTGTTTAGCTTGACATCCGCGTGACGGAAGGTCAGCTGGATTTTTTGTACCTGGTACATACCGAAACTTATACGATAACGATAATCGACGAATTTCTCGTATGCGATTCCACACAAACGTGCCCCACTGTTTATCTCGAAGTATCCATGCTAAAACAACCATTGAGTCAAACCAAACGAAAACATCAATATCTTCATAACTCAAAATTTTTAATATCTCCGCAGTCTGACGGACAGCGATTGACGCAGCTAAGAGTTCAAGTCGAGGTATAGTTGCATTTTTCGGCGCGACTCTTGCTTTTGCGGCGAGCAAGCGAATTTCGACACCGTTCTCAGTCTCGATGCGTAAATACGTCACAGCGCCGTACGCTGTCTTACTTGCGTCCGCAAAAGTATGTAACGATACTCTACCCGATCCAAGCTTTCTTGGTATTTCTATTTTGCTTAAGTAAATTAATTGCTCATGCCATGATAAAAATTCCTCTTTTGTTTGATCGTCGACTTGTGTATCCCAATCGACTTTCGATTCACACAACTTTTTCAATATCAACTTTGGCATCAATGTTACTGGAGAAGTAAAACCGATTGGATCGAACACTTTATGTGCTGCTGAGAGAATGATACGTTTGGTTATTTCATCGTTGTATTCGCTGAATAAAGAAGGGTTGATCAACAAAGTATCGCGAGACTTATTAAATAAAATACCGAGTACTTGAGTAATTTCTTTTTCAGCACCGTCATTCGTATACTCCCACCCTCTTAGTTCAAATCCTCCTTTTGCCATAATCTCTTTAGCTTCGTTGATAAAAGAATTTAATTCATCCGTTGTTCGGGCACTCGTGACGCAATTGTCAACATAAAAAGATTTCGCTAATTTGTCAATATTTTCTTTCGACCATAAATTTGGAAAACGTTCGTGTATCGTGTGGGACAAGTGATATTCTATTACAGCCATCAATAAAAACGGACTACATGTGAGGCCGAACACTACACATCTATGCCGAAAAATTGTCAACTGATCATTCAAAAACCATAGAAAGCGTAGATAATTTCGATCTTTTTCATTGATCCCGATTTGTAAGAAGGCTTTACGTATATCCGCGATCACTCCAATTTCATTTTCACGAAATCTTAACAAGGCGTCCGGAATTAATTCTATTAAATTTGGTCCCTTTTCTAAACATTTATTCAAAGCGGGAAACCCTTTTTCGCTGGAGGAAGCATCGAAGACGGGCCGAACTGGCGTAGTACTACCTGGTTTTATAACTGGGCGGTGAGCCAAACAGTGAGAGAAATCATCTAGTTCATTGTTTGGTACAGGTTCGATGATGCCCTGGTCGAGCCATTCCATCAAAACTTTATCATATTCCTTGTACAAATTATTCTTATGAAGTTTTTTCACAGTGCTATCCAATCTACTTTTACACAAATCTAAATTAGTACAGACTGGTGCGTGGTCATCGACCCAAGGTAAATCGACACTGTACCGATCGTTTTTAAAACAAACAGTCTTGATAAAATTTTCTTTGATCATATGTTCTCGCTCAAGCTCGTCGTTCTTTTCAATCGGATCTTTTATCCCTAAAACGTCTAAATTCCACAGGTCAGATACTTTTGCTTCGCTCACGAACATCGATATAGCATTCAAAGCACAATCCTTTCTCTCACTACTTGGAACTTTACCCATAACAACCCATCCTAAATTTGATTCGAAAGCCGTCAACCCGTTCCGTAAATCATACTTATTACCAGTAAAAAGTTTTCCTGCGACATCTGCGCCAATCAAAACATCAATCAAATCATTACTATATGTAGAGTTTGTTTCCAAGTCAGAGAGAAAAATATTGTTTGTTTTTAATTCGTCGATCCAATTAGCGCGAGAAATTCGTGGAATATCTGAACAAATAACTTTTTCGTCCATAACTTGAAAATTGCAAGCATAATTATTTTCAAGACTTTTCATTCGAATTAGATAAATGTCATGTTCTCGAGTGCTCGAGTTCGCGCCTCCAAACAATGCATGAGTCACCTCACGTTTACCAATAGATTCATAGCCTAACAACTTAGCAACATCGAAACGTATATACGACCTCTGCGAGCCTTGATCGATAACTACGCGTGCAACTTTTTGTTTCGTCTCCGAATATAATACGACGCGCAGTGTTTGTAAATAAACGTCAGGTGAACTACAAAAACTTGCGAGATTTTGCTCCGGACGCTCGCTTTTCTCGGATGTGTCACTCTTCTGCGGCTTCTCGCTATTCGACTCTTTGTTCAAATCCGGGCAAACGAGAATAGAATGACGATTACCGCACCATGCGCACGTTATCTTCACTTTGCATTTACTCGAGCGATGATTCGGTATTAAACATTTGAAACAACAATTATTTTCTTTGATTGCTTTTTTCCTAACATCAAACGAAATTTTTCTCGCATTCTCGCAACTCGAATTATCGTGATTTTCACCGCAAAATATGCATTTCATACTTTTACGCTCGCTTGAAAATAATGCGCTAGCAGTAGCTACTTCCTTCGATGACGTCACCTTGCTTTCTTTCTGCTTACCCTCTTTTGGCTTTTCTTGCTTCTCCTCCGATGATACAGCGAAATGGTTGATGGCTAAGTTGATTCTCTCTTCGTTGGTAACCTCAATTTTTAAAAATTCTAATAACTTCGTCAAACGGTCGGAAACCGGAGCTCCTCGCGTGTTGTTGTCGTTGTCTGTTGCTGTACTCAACGGGAAGCGTTGCCACGTTCTAAGAACTTCCTCGGGCAGTGAAGATTCCACGAGCGGGTATAACATCGTCGCGCAATTGTCTGTTTTAACACCTAATGTATCAAGAGCACGAATACGAGCTGACAACTTGTCGTAAATCGATGCAACATCTAATTGGTCTTCTTTCTTTCTAGTGGCGTTTTGTATTGTTAAAGTCAACAGTTCTCTAGTATAGAACTCGATCAATAAATCGTCTCGTCCGTAGCGACTCTTGAGACTTTCAAATGCTAGATCGTAATTCTGTGCTGTTGTCGGGTATCCATCGACAATACCAAATGCCTTTGAACCTGGTTGCATCATTCCTTTCAAATACTCAAGTTTCACTTCCTTGGAAAGATTCACGTCTTCATGATATTTTCGAAAAAATGACCAAAATTGGAGCCACTTATCAACTCCTCCTGGGTATTTTGGTACATCAAGTGTAGGTCGTTTGTATGGTTTATCGTAGTTCTGTACTGCTTGATTATTTGCACCCGCGTCACTTGTCGGTGGACGTGTTGCACAAATTTCGCGCAAATATTTCACTTTAGCTTCTAAAAACTTTTTCTTGTATTCATCGTGTGCCTCAATCTCTTTTACAATATCGTCGTCCTCCGCCGTAGAATCTGATAACAAATCCACGTACTTCGAGTTCGTGACTTCCAACTCTTGCATTCTTGTTTCAAGCAACTGTAACGCGACACTTCTCTCATCGGCGGTAGCGGTAGCGTTATTGCATTTGGCAACAAATGTATTGAGACACTTCGTGAATAACGCGCGTTGAACGGATTTTTGCCTCTTCGCGTTTTCCATTTTTTGCGGTTAGCTTTTGGGCACGAAAACTTTTAGTAAATTACTCACTCCCGCGTCCTGTCACGGTCGCCAGAAATTTTACATATAAGGAAGGGGAGTAGTGTAGGTTAATAAATATTGAGACTCTCTGTATTAATTTAGAAATACAAAACAAAAAAAGGTAACTTTTACTAATCTCAAACGGAGCACGCCGATGTAATTGCGTGTTACACTCGTGGCGTCTCTCTCCAGACTGACTCTTCACACGCGCTCTCGTACACATTCGTCGCTCGCGCGTCTATAATTCTCAGAAAAATAAATACATGCTTTTACCCGACAAACTAACATTTCTCACATAACCAACGATATCAGCAGACGGAGAACTATTATCATCTTTATTTTTGGTATTGCAAAAACGTACCGGGGATTTTGAACAAAAAATATTTACGCTTACAAACGTGCATGTTCCTGCTTCAAAATCTAGAAAACTGAATTCAGGTGAAATAATTTTTCATGTATTGTAGTTGATAAGCAATGTATGTTCTAGGATACAAAGGGCCAATAAAGGATGCCGCCAATGTATAAGGGATATGTGTATGTTCTGGGACACAAAGAGGCCGCCCGATTAAAGTATCGTGGTATCACACTACCGCGACACCTTTCCGTGTTATTGCGATAAGGTGAGACCCCATGCTGAGTGTCTAAAACGCATTTGATGTACCTTTGACACCTCCAGCTGAGTATCTAAAAGATAATCGATGTACCTTTTGCATTGAAGATGCGTCGCCAATGTACTCAATACATTGAATATAATACAGTCTATCTATAATCTTTATTTTCAGTAGTTGACATCGCTATATTGAAATATTGAGTTGAATTTTTATATGTAATATTGTCAATTTCATCAATACCTTCCACTTCAGATTGCTTCCGTCTAGCTTTTATCCATAAAAACAATCTTTGTGCATTTGTAACGGCACATACAAAGTTAGCTGGTTTATTGTGATGATATGTGCATATTGTTTCTAATGGGTACGGTAATGCGCTCATTGGTGGACATCTCATCTCGCTTTCAAATACTAAAATTTTTCTATAGATGGAAAAAAGTTTCTATTTAATAATGATTTTAATTTCTAACAAAAAATAAAAATAATTTTTATACTTACTTTTCGGGTAATATTTTTTGTAACCATTGTTTCTTTTTAAATCCTTTTCATAAATATTTCTAGAATTATCTAAATGATTGTTTAGTACACGTGCTAAATTTTTTTATGGATTAATGCCGGATCTCCATAATACGTAAACCGTGATGACACATTTCTAAGAATTGATTCACTTTTCGACACTTGAAAGGAAGTTGAAACCAATGATTCGATGGTTCAAAGAAAAGCACAGTTGGAACAGTATCTACATCTAAAGGTAAATAAGCGAGTTCTTTACACACAAAAGACTCGTTTAAACTTTTAAAGCCTTGAAAATGTAATACGAAATCCATTTGAAAAGATGTAGAAGTGATGTAGATGTAGAATGTGAACTCTACAAGAACCCAAAACCGTTATGAGATTAGAGACAAGTGTTTGTTCTATATAAAGCCTATACTTCACCATTCGAAAGTCGAGGGTGTCATAGTCACTATATGTAGTATGATTATAGGTAGTTTGTATTAATACCAACTATATATATACATACACACACACAACTATATATATAGAGTTGGTTATTATATATAAAAAATTATATATATATATATAATTATATATATATATATATTATTTTTTATTGAAAAGCATTGTATACATTGATTGCATAATGTCTTGTTAATTTTAAACTTATTTTTTAACATCACCACTAATTGGATTATATTATACAGTACGATCGTGTAATATTAAGCAGTAGGCTGCAGTATCTTCAGGAAAATTAGTCCGAGTTTCAAATTCTAGGCCAACATCGGTTTTTAATGTTTCATTTTGTTTGGAGCAGTCTATAACTATTGGCGGCACTTTATAATGAAATCTTTTTTATTGAGTAATGGCTCGTTTTCTTTACCATAGTAAGCATTTTGAAAATTAGTATACATATCGTAGAGAACAGCATACTGATTTTGATTGTTATTCAAATTGAGATTTCCATACGCATAGCATTGTGAATTGAGGAATAGCTTCACATTACTAATATTATAATGATCAAAATTACAAGCATTAACACTCGCTGAACTTTTCCATTTAGACTAAAAAGCTAAAATAACAAAGCAATGCTTTTTCAATTGATTGGAAGTCTTAACAATCCAAACATGCTTTGATGTACGAGGTAATTTTGGATACTCATACATTTCCCAGGTGCGATAACTCATTGTGATTGCACGATCTCGTCGAATTTGTTCGAGTAATTTGACTTTTTCTTTGTCTGCAACCATCACATATGGTATCAACCATTCTACCTTAGTTAAATTAATGTTTGATTTTTCTGAAGCAGCAGGATTCCCTATTGGAGTACTTAAAATAGCATTCAAATCATCTCTTGATCTCGTGAGAATAAGTTCATGCTTGACATTGACTACAATTTTCCGATAATCTTCAGCAAAGCCCATCAACATACTGAGAGGTATAGTAACATCAAAAAAACTTAGAGCATTGCATATTAAAACTTCATTGTTATCACCATTCCTTCCAGCATTTTCAGCGATAAAGCTCTGACATGTATTGAGTGAAAGCCAATTTTTCTTGAGGCTCGTTAAGCCTACATTTTTCACTTTATTAATTTCAATAGCATTTATTTCATAAAGTATTTCCTCAAACAAATAACAGAGGGCATTGTTGACTAATAAAGTGTTCTCCAGTGGCGTAATACCGTCTGGCTTGGTCAACCGACCAAATATGAATCATACTCCGTGATGGAAACATAAATAAATCTTGATGTTGAATTGCTATATGGATTTCATCACTATTATTGAAATATGATAATGAATAAGGCTGATGCGCATGAAGTTCATAATGAGATATAGACTCATCGAAAGCGACACCTGAATGAATGACTAGAATTTCCTCCATATTGTTGTTGTTGTTTTATACAGCACACTAATATGCACAATATTGTCTTCCACGATTTTCGACGACTTTCAGTGTCAAGCTTTTCAGGAATTGTCTGTTCTGAGGTGTGAGCGATCTGATAGCTCGCTGTTGACTGGTTGCTGATTGACATTTTTGTCATTTAATATAGCCTCGATCGTTGTTAATATTGTAAATGATACCCATTACTAAGATAAGGTCTTTATATGTGCTCGCACTGTGATGACTTCTCCTCAAAAGTTAACTAGGTTTCCGTCTTGATCAACTATACGAATTTGAAAATGATCAATGCTCCTCACAGCGACTGCAAGGTAAATGACGTGAGAGGGAACTTCTATATTCTTATATTTAGGTGGGACTGCTGGAAAAAATTCAAATATAATATGTACTTTGCGATCGTTTACGTGAGAGCCTGTAGTAATATTACACTCTACACGTAAAACGTTAACTTTGAGTATAGTGACGGGAAAATGAGAACTATGTGTTTCGTTTTCAAATAAAGTAAATGAAATGAAGGTCTTGACACGATTCTCTTACAATCAACGACTTTTCAAAAAATCGATTTTCCAGGTAGGAGATAAAGTGCGAGTGAGCAAATCTAAATACGTTTTTGAAAAAGGATATACGCCTAATTGGTCTAAGAAATTTTTACTGTTCATCGTATTACGAGAACTATACCCGTAACATATCACCTACTAGATTATCAAGAAAATTCCATTGTTGGTGGTTTTTATGAGCAAGAACTACAGAAAGCTATGTATCCTGATATGTATCTTGTAGAAAAAATTCTCAAAAGACGGGGTTATGAAGTCTTCGTAAAATGGCGTGGCTTTAATAATACTCACAATTCTTGGATAAATAAGGAGATTATAAATCAATGAATTACAAATATAAATGTATCTAGTTTGTATTTAAATAAATAGTATTGTTTTCATTTATAAATATTACATTGTTTTTGTTTTTCTTTTAAGGATAAGAGCCCCAACCTTCGCTCTTACCTATGAGGTACTTCCATTTTTATATTTGATACTAGTGAGTCCATTAGGATAAGTCGAAACCTGCTTTAAGAGATACACTAATGATTCATTTACCTCTCCAGAAAATAAATTTATATAATACAATCTTTATTGAGATATAATAAAATACATTTAAATAATATGTGACGATTCTCGTCGGAATTTTCCCAAGTTCCCCCCTCTCTCTCGGCAAGGCACGGAGACCAGCGTTCGGCGCATTTAAGAATGCGTCTAATGCATGGTCTCTGTTTCAGCTGACGGAGATTGCCGAGCGGGGCCAAGCAGGCCCGAAGTGGCTACGCTGGCGATAGAGAGAGTATAGAGATGTTAGAGAGAGAAAGAGAGAGAAATAATCGGGGGCGTGCGTGCCTTACGCAATATTAGGCAGGCGCGCATTTAGAACCAATTAGCGCATTGTTCACGCGCCGCCTAATAAGTAGGTCAAGTGCGGAGAGAAAATATCGACGAAGAAGCTGTAGGTCGCGAGGAAAAACGAACGACACAGACGGTAGTTAGTCGAGGAGAGACTCAGAAGGTTTTCGAAGTCGACCGGAGCTAGACGGTGGACGGCCAGCGGTTACAGAAGTGCAGCCGAGGATAGAGGGCCGAGAGGAAGCCGGCAGGTGTTGCCCAGTGATGACCTGCAGCACCGTGCGCAGGACGCAGCCAGGACTCCCGCTCCAGCATCCAAAGTCTAGTTTACAATTTAATCTCTCTCTCTTTCTCTCTCTCTTCATCGACGGCACTGCGCGTAATTTTAATATTAGGTGAGTAGCAAGGCGTGCACACGCCGGCAACCTGCCCTAATAACGGTCGGGTAATAAATCGCGCAAAAAGAAATCGTCCGGACGATCCGTCGCCGGGCGACTTTCTCTTTTAGCTAAATAGCTTAAGTCGGTTTGTCGTCAAGGCGGTCATCTGCCGAGCGACTCGTGTTGTG